CGAGCATACATTGTATGGAGGAAAATGCGCTACAAAACTGCAAACTTAAATTACAAAAAAAAATAGTTTTTGCCATTTTTAGCGTAATAAGAAATTGTTGAATATGAAATCAAAAAAAAAATTAAATCCGTATTGCCAAAAAAAAATCTGTATAGATTGAGTTAGCATATTAATGTATAATATATTTTTTAAATTAGCGATTAATTTGAAATAAAACATTTTTTTTTCTTTTGTGATAAAAGAAAATCGAAAAAAAATTTACCATTATCCTATGTAAGCAAGACTAAAAATTTATGCAGTTTCTGTTGAATGTTCATATTGTTTTCTTAATATAGAAAAACCTGATAAATTTATTTTACCTGATAGCTTTTGGATAAATCTAGATAAGAAACCGTTATAGCAATGCTTGTTTTAAAATATTCTAACAATAATGTTTGTAATTTCAGTGTGGGATAAAAGGTCGTATTTAGTTTCTTTAAGAAAATTAAGTAAAAGGCGTTTTTGGCAAATTATATTAATTGATCTTGGCAGATCGATTTACTTTTTTACGATTTCTTACTGCATCGATTTTTTTTATTTCGATCTGGCATCTCTAAAATGTAGTCATAAGTGGGCGGTGCAACCCGCATTTTAAAAAACCTCTGTTCAACGTGTTTTTTTTTTGTATCAAGGGCAATAACACTTTACAGCACTTGGCTGGGTATTGGGCAAAACAAATTTTTTTAAAGAGATTGAGTTATAATTTAAAAATTAGTTTCTCCACTTTCCGAAGTTAGCCCCCAAAATCGAGATATGGGCCTTCAAAGAAAAACAATTTAACAGTTAGACTCTAAACCATGTTTGTATCGGTTTTGTGGGGGGTGGGTGAAGCAACTACTGAAATACAGCATTTCATTATAAATGGGCGGAGCCGACTCGCCCATTTTCCCAAAATTTCCTAACTTATTTTATCTAAAAACTTTATTTCGCGTTCCAATTTTCATTAATTTGGATTCAGTGTTTACAAGAATGTTGAATTTTTAAGTTTTCTAAAATACCGCCCGACTACGCACATTTTCAATACCTGTCCTGGATCAAGGGCGACCAAAATGCCAAATTCGCAAGAGTTATCGTGTACAAGGACGGACGGACGGGCGGACGGGCTTAATCGACTTCGCTTTTCATTCTGAGAATTTTTGTGTATATATGTTTGCATGGGAGGTTTTTTCGACTATAGGCGTATATTTAGCATTGGAGGATTCTACGTGTGTTTCTAAGCAAATTTGCTAAAAAAAACATGGGTCCAAAATCAATTTTGAGTTCGCCAAATCGCGAAAATAGGTTTATTTTACATAGCATTTTGCTGTAGTGTCGTTAAGGAGTGCCTTAATGGTTCTTTGCACAGAAATAAAAATAGTAGGAAAATACCTTTCCACGGATTCATAAGTCTAAATCGGAATAGCTTTGGTCCAGTTATTCAAGTTTTTCTTAAACCAATCATGGAAAAATGTAAAAAACAGCATCAAAAATCTCATTATTATGACTCCGTGGAAAGAGTTTGTAAATATTTTTATGCAGATTTTTTAAGCTTAAATTGTTTTGTCATCTGAGGGGTTTGTTTTCAAAAAGTTCTCCGTTTCTGGAGGTGTTTTCAAATCGGTCCATCTCACGTAAATCTTAATATTTTTCCGAAATATTTTGGTGGACGTCTTCAAATATAATTTTGTAATCCCGGCGGTAAAACCGCAACTTTTTTTGATGATGCAGTCTAATGTACATACATGCATGTAGTTTGTATTGAGTTTTATGTGGGAAAATTTTCCAAAACGGATCCAGGCTTTGAAAAAAAAAAAAATATTAGGGAGTATAGAAGAGCTTTTTCAGATTTTAAATCTGAAGACCCCACCCTCCGGAGGCTTATAGTTTTAAAGTAATTAGCATTTAAAGTTGCAAAAAATACCGAATTTAACCTCACCTTTTGCTTTGTACACCAATTGAAGGGAAATGTCAGTGCTGCCATACATATGAAAAAATTCCTCAAAAACACAAAACGGAAGCAATAAAAAAATGCAGATAATGATCGCGCGATATTTAATAAAAAAATTTAATTATTTATTGGTCGATTTTTGATTAAAAAGTTGCATAATTTATCGAAGTATCGAGTTTTAGAATATAAAGCGCCGCAGGCGAAAATTTTTAATAAAAAATCGCGCGATTTTTAATTAAAAATGTTCATTATTTATGGAAGTATCGATTTTTAGAATATAAAGCGCCGCAGGCGAAAATTTGTAATAAAAAATCGCGCGATTTTTAATTAAAAATTTTCATTATTTATGGAAGTATCGATTTTTAGAATATAAAGCGGCACAGGCGAAAATTTTTAATAAAAAATCGCGCGATTTTTAATTAAAAATTTTCATTATTTATGGAAGTATCGATTTTTAGAATATAAAGCGCCGCAGGCGAAAATTTGTAATAAAAAATCGCGCGATTTTTAATTAAAAATTTTCATTATTTATGGAAGTATCGATTTTTAGAATATAAAGCGGCACAGGCGAAAATTTTTAATAAAAAATCGCGCGATTTTTAATTAAAAAT